GAGATCTGTTATTTGTTATTTCAGCACGGAAGTCATTGACAACCCGTGCTTCTTTCGCACATTTTAAGTTGCCCTGCTGCCGTACAGGAGCTAACATTGACCGGTGGATGAGGAGACACGCACATTAGAATGCGCAATACCTTTTGCCCCATTTGTGCGCTGGTGGGGCAGTTTCACCAAAATATTTCCACATTATAACCTCCCGAACGGGCAAGAAAGGCACAGAAATTGGTTACTTTCGCCCATCAGGAAGGTGCGACACCCCATCCAATCAGTAGCCAAAAACGCTCATGCCACCTTGACCAAAATCAAACACCAGTGGTGTTCCGGCTGGGGCCGCACGAAATCATTTCAAGGAAATACCTGCATACGTCAAGCGGTTAAAAAGATTGCTGGGAGTGAACGGCCACGTTTTCTATTAGCCATGAGAAGATGGAGTGGCGCCACCTGATGGCTCCTTTTCTTGACGTAGTAGTAAGGATCACGTGACCGATTCTGCACTTTGTTGGTACCATGTCGGTTGAAGTGTATCGTTCCAGTTCATGTTTGATTCATTAATTCTAAGGGAAGTTTAGGGTTGCATTTATCCTAACTCTTTTGTGGTACTTCTTGTACAAATTAGACTCAAGCAGCTCGACAACAGTGGCGTCGTGGCCTACGAAACAGGACCCAGTTGCCCAGCTGACCCAGCGTTTTGTTATCGTAGTGACCACGACCAATAAAGTCATCGCCGCGGCTTCGGAGGCTTGTCAAGTGATCAAACAAGTAGATTCTAGGACGGCATATATCCATATCCCAAAACATGATTTTTTTTAACCTGTTGGAAAAAGACAGAGCATTAAAAATGAATCGCGATAATGGCCGAGCAGGCGTTGAATTGGCATTCCGACCGCAGTTTTTTTTCACATCTTGCCTTAGAGCTTTTTGGGACACACACGTAAAATAAAGTATACGTACCACATGATGCAAGTGTTAGCCCTAGCGTGTTTACTTGTGCTTTAGGTCAAAGAAAGCAGCAGCTATATATGACGATTGTTGGCATTGCACCGAGAGCGTCCGCCGCCACCGCACAACACTCTGAATCCAACAAGCGGACGTCGAAAAGATAGGACTCACCTTCCAACCGTAAGATTTAGATCAGGGTTCAAACTGTTCATGCTAAATAGGTCCACCTACAAAAAAAAATGTGGTTCAAAATTATTTGTTTAATGAGGCTACTGGTCGTTGGGATCAAGTGATGAGCGCATTGTTAGGCCTTGCGACCAGTGATGGTCCTAAAGGGGGGGGGGGGGGGGGGGGCGCGAAAAGGATGACCGACCCCCCCCCCCCCCCTTCCCCCCCAAAAAAAAAAATCCCAATCGCTCGTTCTTTTTTTTTTTTTTTGCAGTCAAGCAAAAAAGGGAGCACACTCGTTCTTGTTCGGAGGACCTGTGAGCTCGGACAGCGATCAGAATTTTCTCCCCTCACAAACACTAATCGTCTTCATGCGCTTCATACACCATCCATTTCGCTTGAGGCTCGAGAGGCATTCGCAATCTCAGTTAATAGTGACACATTTCAATCAAATAAGTTACACACATATAGAAACGCGTGGAAGGCCGCAGCCGTTATTAATTCTGGTAGTGACCTTCCGACCCTGACGAAGAAAGAACAGACTTCCGATGTATACACAGCCACTCTGCCCGGATTATACCGAAGTTGAGGTATACTACTTTTGAGGAGCACGTGGGCCATCAACTTCAGATTCTGTCTCAAGTTTCCCGAATTCCTCCTTTTTTGGTGTGAAAAAAAGCTGCCACCTCCGGCGTCTCTGGCTCAGGAGGCCTTCACTGACAAGTTGTGTCGATGCAATGAAGGACACCTCCCCGACACCAAAAAGTAACAGCATAATTTAAGACTACCCTTTGCCACTCTTGGTAGGCTGACGCGAGAGAATAAAATATATTAATCTCATATTGTGATAGACAAGCATGTTAATCTATTTTAAGAAGTGCCATTTGCTCGAAACTTTTGGGGTTAGGAAGAGAAGGAAAAGCGCGGACTTGCTGCCTATTCCCCTACGTTTGGACGACAAGTAGCTGACCCTGGAGCTCCAAGAGGAAATCTCAGTCAGCCCGCTTCACAGTTGGAATGCTGCAGGTGTTGGCCTCTCACGTCACTCAGCTTTGTTCAATACCGCGGCGTCGCCTCCAGACAAACGGAAGAAATTCCGGGCAAACAAAGGACAGCCAAGGCTTCTCCCCGAGAACGGTGGTCTGCGGGGATAGTTCCAGAATGAACGGCGCGAAGAAAGGGAGAAGGGGGGAGGCAGGCGGAAGGTGCACAGACTTCCAGGTTTTCAGGTGCTACTGGTTGCCTAATTAATGGGATCTCGAGCGCGGTGGCTCGTTTCCCTGTAGGGAGAAGGCTTACAAAACTGTAAGCTCTTGAGGTTGGGGCGCGCCACAATTCCTCTTCTCGTGTTGACAATAGCTGGCGAGCTGACGACGTGCCCTTGAAAGAGTTTTTGCCTCTGTGTGTGCGCGCCTGTGTGCAGCTGTGAAAACCTACCGTGGCGGAGGCTGAACGTCTTTGGAACTGCAACTCTGTGAGCATCGGTCGCGCATCCCTGGTGGACGATGTCTTCACACAGGAACATAAGTAAATGAAAACCTTTAAAAAAAGAAACAGACTAAAAAAAACGCGTGTGTTCTCTGAAATCTTACTTCGCCAAAGTGAAAATAGTGTAAATAGACCCCTGGCTCTTGTCTCCGAATGCCCTGCCGCATTCAGATTCTTTGCGTGGCCCAAGTTGCCCCTCTAGCCCCACGGACACCCGCTCGGTTCGAAGACAAGGTAGTTCAAGAAAGAGCACAAAATAGGTGTACGGCTGCTCTTGCACCTGAGGCGGGAGGGAATAATAATGGTAATATTTTCTTCGTTTTCCAAAATAACTATGACGTGTTTTGCAAGCGACTGCATTTATTTTCTGCTATAGTGCACTTTTTATTTCTTACTTCGTTCGATCAGTACGGTTCATTTATTTGTACATTTGGATTATTCTAAGTAGGAGTATACATTTAAGAACTGTACAATGTATATTCTTAGGCGGCCGATTCGTCTGGCCACAGAGACAAGCGTTCCAGAATCGACTCAATCTCCCTACCACTGAGGAAAGAAGCTCAACATCCAACGCGGATGTATCGCCAGCAGTCTCTGATCGCTCTTCGACGAGGGACCCTCTCTTGCCCTCCGTATCCTGATGTTCATTGCACTTTTCGTAGGCCCATGGGACTGGCTCTTCTCAAGAGGATTTCTCTGAGCTTTGTCACTCATCCAGCGGAATCAAATCAGTAAGTAGTACGAACATCTTCATGAGTATGAATGACTAACATCAAGATTACTGGACTCAACTGAGCGTTGTGAACGAAAAGTGGCAACTGAAAACTACATATTAATTTCTGCAGGCGGATGATTCATCTGCTCCAGGTAGCAAGCGCTCAAGAATCGAGCCTTTCTTTGTGGCCTTGGACGAAGATGATCCAGCTCCGGCGACGTCGCTGGTGGCGCTGGTGGCATCGCCTCATGTTTTCTCATCGGTGCTGCAACTGACTCCTCGTGCGTGCCCTCCGCCACGTCCTCACCTCCATATGCCCTTCTACCTCCGGCGACCTGATTTGTCAGCTGTCTTCAAGAAAACACCTCCCCTGTCCTGGGCTCACCGGGACAAATCAAGGACGTAAGTGAGCCGACCACTCACATGATTATGATCGATATAGGAAATTTTGATGGCAAAGGTAGGCCAGACGCCATTACGCTTTCCCAAATACTGAAGAACCACTGGGAAGCGCGAGAGAGGTAAGTTTACCCCTCTTTGTGGCTTAAAAAAAGGAAAAGTCGACAATCCATTCGTAAGTGAAGAACATTGTCGGAATATTCTTGGCTGTTTCTCTGTGACGCGAAGAGAGGACTTTTCGGTAAGTATTGCCCATTCTTTGTGGTCGGAAGTATCGGACGGTATCAGCAGAGCGTGCCTCTCAGTAACCTGGTTAATAGACCTCACTTTTTTCGCGAAGCACCTCGGGAAAAAATAGGGCTCTAGAGCTGCATAACAGCAGCAAATATCCCCACGACGCTGTCGAAGCTGGAAAGGCATTCCTTACATGCCACAACTCTCCGGCAAAAGACGTAGCTAGTCAACTGGCGACACAAAGACTCCAGAAGGTTGCTGAAAACCGTGACAGTATAGCCACATTATTTACTGCATCGTCTTCCTCGGCAGTTGTTGTTGAAAACATCTCTATTGCACAAAGGCAGGATAGAAGGAGGGGGTTAGGGGTAAAAAGAGATAGAGAAGAAGTAGGAGTTAGCTGTATGACCCTATTCCAGGACTCCACTGGCTTGTGCCGCCTTGGCCCGCCGGATTTGCAGCTGTTGCTTAACTGGGTCCTTGCTTGCGAACGCCGCATACGACTCCTCTTCGCTTGCTTCACATTGTGATATTTCTTCATTCTTCTCGCAGGCCCACGCCATGTGGTATGTGTCTGCCTTTCGCCACCCACACCACGGGCACGCTGCCGACGCGTATCTGTCCAGGTACAAGGTGTGTAACATGTCTGGCGTGAGAAATGTATCCGTCTGTAGCCGTCGAAGGATGCGTTCCTATTCCTTGCTCAGGGACTTATGCGTTGCTGGAAATCTCTTACGTGCAAGTCGGACGTCCAGTATACATTTGGAGAACGACCGCCGGTCCTCCGTGCCTGAGGCAGGAATAGAGTCCCGGCTCGGAAGAGAATCTCGGGCTGTGGCGTGAGCCACCTCATTTCCTGGATGCCCAATATGGCCTGGAGACCAGACGATCTCAGCCGCCTGCGGGGGTTGCCTTCTCAGTAGCCCGGCCGCCAACTCTCCCACGGAACCCGCGGTGAAGTTGCGAACGGCGCCTTGAGAGTCCGATATTATAGTCGCTTTTGGGTTGCAAGTGATAGCCAATGCGATGGCCATCTTTTCGGATTCCGTAGCACAAGACACTCTGAAAGAGGCGTTTGTGACGATCTTGCTCCCCTCCGAGGTAGCCGCGGCTGCCGTGGCCACCCCACTAACAGGCCCCGCGGCGTCAACGTAGGGGGTGCCTGGTCGGCTATCACAGGTCCTAACGAGGGGCCTCGGACCTTGCCATACGCTTTTGCGCGTCCCGTGACGGGTCCATGTTCCTCGGAATTCTGCTTGTTCGAACACCGGCTCGAATATGGTCATTCAGCTTGATCTGTTGTCGTAAAAAGGCGGAGTTCGGGTTCACCAACCCCAGCTTGTCGAGCAGCCAGCGACCGCTGTCCGTTCCTTCGAGTCTTCTGATTTGCGCTCCAATCTGGGCGTTGGCCAGCTCCTCGAAGGTGTTGTGCACTCCCAACTGAAGTAGCCTTTTAGTGGCTGCATATTCCGGCAGGCCCAGGGCATTCTTGTATGCCTTGCGAAGCAGTACGTCGAGCTTCTCTACCTCCTTCTTGGTGAGGTTTAAATATGGGGGTCCATACATCATCCTAGACACTACAAACGCGTGCACGAGCTGCATGGCCTCCCTTTTTTTAAGTCCATGTTGCTTGTTGCGAATTTTTTGCAACAGGCCGTTGATCTGTACCGCCGCCTTTCTGGGCTTGTCAAGTGTGTTCTTGTTGTTCCTTCCCTGTGGGATCAGCTGTCCCAGGATTCGCACCTCCTGCGGCTTGGAAACGTCTTCTCCGTCAATTTTGACATTGATGTGAGTTATGAGTCCTTCCCGTGGGTTCCTCATGACCAGCAACTCCGATTTCTCCGGCATGTACTGAAGCCCTCGGCTCCGTACGTACTCTGCCGTAATATCGGCCTCTGCCTGCAGCCTCTCCTCCACTTGACCGTCGCACCCGGACTTGCGCCAGATCGTAATATCATCGGCATATATCGCGTGCCCCACCTTTGGGATATTCTTCAGCTTCTCCGGCAGATTTATCATTGTCAAGTTGAAAGGTAGAGGGGAGAGCACCGCCCCTTGCGGCGTGCCTCGTGACCCCGGTGTTAGGGGGTCCGAACTATAATCCCCTAGTAAAAGAACCACTTGAAGTTTCAAAAGAAAACTTCGCATGTAGTTATACGTTCTTTCCCTGTAGTTAATTTGACTAAGTCCTTCTAGTATACTACCATGTGTAACCTTATGGAATGCGCTTTTGAGATCAAGCACTAAAATGCACCTTGTTTGCGCTCGCGCCGGGCTCTCAAGTAAGTCCTTATATAGCCACAACGACACAGCTTGCGTCGACATGTGCGGGCGGAATCCAAACTGTGTATGAGCCAGTAACGAATTGTCCTCAATGTGTTTGGTTAGTCTTGCATTGATTATCCGTTCAAACACCTTTCGCAGGGATTATGCTAAAGAAATCGGTCTGAGGTTCCCCAGACATGTCTTTTCGTGGTTTTGGAATAAGTCGTGCCTCAGCTTTCTTCCAGATCTCCGGGGTGGTACCCGTCCTCCAATATTCCTCGTTAAAGTGGCGCACAAGCTCTCGTAACGATCCTTCATCCTGAATGTATAACTGCCTCGCTCTGATCATGTCCTGCCCAGTGCCGAATTCTTCATCGCCGCCAGTGCAGCCTCGAGTTTCCCCAGCGTTATCGGCCTATCAAGCACCTTGTTCGGTTTTCCCTTATAGTCTGGTTGGTCAACCGGGGGGTCCCGGCACAAGGATTTCCTAGCCAGACGCTCCATAATTTTGTTGCCTTCAGCCCCCTAATTATGCATGAGGGAAGTGATCTTGTTCTGTGCCACCGTTCTTGTACCCTCCGGATCCACCAGGGCCCGAAGAAGTTTCCAGGTTTGTGCGAGACCTAAGCTGCCTTGCATCCCGTCACACAGAGAGTACCAGTTTTGCCTTGAAAGTCGGAATGCATAATTCTCCGCCTCTTTATTCAGTTCCACAATCTTTTTTGGCAGCTTTCTGCTGCCTCTCCGTCTTTTCCACCTCTTCGTTAATGACCTTCGCGCCCCCCACAGGTGCAGCAGATGTGAGTCCACTTCCGGGTTTTTCTCAGTTGTGTCCACCACTGTTGTATACCGCTCAAAGCTTTGGACTAATTCCCTGTCCATTCCTCGATAATGTCAATGGTCGCACCGCTTCGCCCTCTTTGCTCGCGCCACTTGTCCCATTGTACAATTCTTGCTTTACCGATCTTCTTTCTGCCAAAGTCCCCGGTCTCCCAGCTCGTACAGAGAATGTAATGGTCACTTCCGAGATTTTCCCCGGTGTTCACCCATCTTGGATTCCGGATGCCTCTCACCATCGTCAGGTCGGGGCAGTTGTCCCGGCACCTGCTTGTCCCGATCCGTGTTGGCGTCTCCGGGTCCGTAAGCAAGGAGAGTCGCTCCTGGTCAAGCGCCTCCGCGATTCTTCTGTCTTTGGCAGTAAGGTGGCGGTACCCCCACGCCGGATGCGCTGCGTTGAAATCACCTGTTATGACGAGCGGTTCCCTTCCTGCTTTGCAAGTGAAACTCGTGAGCAGTTGCTTGAGGTCCGATTGAGTGTCTCTAGGGTTAAATACACACACAGCACATTGAGTCTGTTGTTCATTCTCCCCGAGGAGATTAAGGTCACATACACATGCGGAATGCCCGTTATCAACGGTTCTTGTACCTCCGCCGGATATTTTTGTGAACTAACAGGGCCAAATACTGGTCCGCGTAGTGAGTATCGTAGCCCTTAATTCTGACACTCGTACACTTTCCAAGTTCTTGAAGAGAGATAACCGCAGGGGGTCCAGCCGCTTGCGCCGCCAACAGGTTGAGACCAGCCCTTTTCCGGCCGATTCCCCTGCAGTTTAGCTGCCACACACTCAGTTTCGCTTGAATCCGCATGTTGAGTCCGTGTCCGAGAAGCCCGTTTCAGAGGGGGTTGGTGTATTCCCTCTTGGCCGTCTTCGCTTAAGTACCTGGCTGTTTCGCATCTCCAGTCTCTCAATCCTCTTGTTAGACTTGCTCTCCAGAGTCTGCATTCCCGTCAGGAACATCTGCATCTGCTGTTGCATCTGCTGAATTGTCTCCTTCAGCTGCGCGACTTCCGAGCGGACCTCCCGGATTATTTTGAAGTGTACGTCTCCCAGTGTGGTTTGCGGCGGTGGGATCACCTGCTATTTAGGAGCATCCGTTTTCCCCGCTTTCTTGCGAAGCCGAGTGTTCTCCTCCATCAGCGCTTGAATTTGTTTTTCTAGCTTCTGCTCCGCTTGCGACTTCGGTAGGGTAGGCCATTTGATTGTGTTGGCCAGATCTCTACCCTCTGTTGACGCTTGCGTCCTTCCATTCTTCATATTTGCCGCCCCTCATTCCTGGAGGTACACTCTAAGAAAAAAAGGGAGGAGAAAGGTAGCAACAGCGACTGTTCCTTCTTGTTGCGGACAAGTTGCCCAGAGAAGGGAGGAACGGCAGTTCAGATGAAAGGAGAAGGGCGAGTTCCTCCTTGTTCAGTTGGCGCAGGGGTAAAACATCGCGCTACTGACCAAGTGGTCAAAAATTCGATCCCCAAGGGGCGTTTTTTTTTTCGTAAATTATTATTATTATTTTTTGTTTTGTTTACCAAAACACGCATAAACAAACCCAGACCGACGAAAGGAAAATTAAAGTCCTTATTATTCACCGAGATGTTTTCCTCCTCCGGACAGACCGGACAAAGCTTTCGCCCTCCCGACTCGTCTTCTTTCGGTTTCGTTTTTCGAACACATCGCGCACGTTGTTTAATAAATTAATGTTGAGTTCATTGAGCTTCAGCGGCAGCGAAGGCTGCCTGTAATTCCGTCTTCTAGTCCAAACGTGCAGAACATTTCGATTGCATTGACGTTTTTACCACTAATTTTATCAAACGAGCTAACGAAGCCTCTAGAAACAGCGAAGTTCCGGAGCAGCGTCAGCAGCGCTACATACACTGGGTAAGACTAGAGCACTATATAGCTTCTTCGGAGCAGAGTAGCGCAATCTAGAACGCCGCCTCTCGGCGACCAGAGCCGTATATGGGGAGAGTTTGGCCAGTCTATGATCTCGCCGCCCTACCGCTCTCCTCCCAAGTGAGCCAATCATCATGCGGCGTAGAGCGAGAGGCATGAGCGCATGCGCGTGAACTCCCGGCTGCTCCCACCTGAGTGGGGAGGGCCGCCATCTTCGATCATTCTCCCGGCGGAATGCGTAGGATCGACATCTAAATCTCGATTATTGTCTTTTATATCGCTGGCTCTGGCAAGAAAATGACATTCTGTTATTCCTCGGTGGTTTAAAAAGCTAATAAATGAAGGTTTTTTGGCGTATGGCCACAAACTTTTATTCAGGCGAAAAAGAAGTCGGCCCGTAGCAGACGACGCGTAGCCTCAGCAGCGCTCTTCTCCGACCAGTTTTCGACAGCGTTGCTCAAATATGGCGGTCGTCTCTTCTCTGCTCCCTTCTTTCTCTCTCGCTCCTTCGGCGTTCTCCTCCCTTTTATTTCCTTTTCTCCTCTCCGGCGCCTTCGTCGCCACACCCACTGGCCAAACTCTCCCAATATACGGCTCTGTCGGCGACTAGCGGCGAACGCCCGGAGGTTCCAACTGGGGTCAGAAATGCATGGAGAACGTGAGAAAATCGTTGTTTCTTCAGTATTGTGAGAATATACGGAATGGCAATCGTTTGTGACATAACAATAAAACATTTTAGAATAATTTGCGCCAAGTTTTGTCACCCGTAAGAACCTGACTTTTTTTTTAAAATTGCTTGAGCGGCATCATGCAGCAGACGACACGGCGACGTCACACCATTCACGTGACCCGCTGCGGCCAACCCGAAAAGCCCAGCTCCGCTGCGAGCAAAAATTGTCTGCTTCAAAAGCCATCGCCTTAGAAATTGCCTTCTCAAAATTTGCACACGCATCCGATATTATTAAAACTTTGACAAAGTGTTTAGTGCTTTACTAACTTAACGACAGACTAGTTTTGAAAAGTGTGATCTTGCCGTTCATTTTTTAATCAGCCGTGTTGTATCGATCTCCATGTATTCTCCCATAGGGCGGGCCGCCTCTTGGAACCCTGAGTACCACGTGACTCGCGCCGAGCCGCTCTGTCGGCCATCTTGTCGGCAAAACACGAGGTTCAAAGGATTGCGCTACTCTGCTCCGTAGGAGCTATATAGTGCTCTAGGTAAGATGGCCGTCTCCAATTTGCGGGACACACGCGGAACTACAGCAGCGAAACCACGAGGAACTGTGTCGACGTTTTCGACGTTATGGAAATCGCGGGAACTGCGTCCAAGGCAGGCAGGTTTTCCTGCCGGCTGCCTGGGTGCCTTCCGTGCTGAGTTCGGTTCTGTTGTCCCGTGCCGAGTGCCAACCGGCGTTCAACGTGATTCTGTATTTCTGCGTGTCAGCAACATCGTCAACGTGGTTCTGTATTTCTGCGTGTCAGCGACATCGTGATGGCAGTGTTGTGGGTTGTGAACAGAAGACTGGAATTATCGCCGATGTGACCGTGTGTTCGCGTATCAGTGGTGTAACAACAAGATGAGATGACGTAAACTGTCGGGCATTGATGCCGCTTGTCGGGCCGTGATCGGAGGGGGCGGGGTGTCGCAGGTTGACATTCCGCTTTACATTAAAGAGTTTAAGACCACTTGAGGGGTTAGGTGCAGTCGATTGACGTGTGGATAGTCATGTTAGAACGCTGGTCTGAACGGTAAGCTTCTATCGTACAGTGGCCAATGTGACTCTCGGTCCCCGAGAGCGATTGCACTCTGGGGAAAAGACTGAAAACTACGAAAGTATGACGGAAAGTACGTATATTTACAATGGAAGTTTAGCATAAAAAAAAGGTAAAATCGAAAAAAAAACCGCTATCCTTTATTTTACTGTTTAAATATATTACGGTTCCTGTAGAAACTGCCGTCTAAGTGGCGCGCTGGGATGAGCGCTAGAAGTTTTCGAGCTCGCAACGGCGTAGCTCCGTACATTTAACAGTTGCCGCAAGTCGCGGCTTTGACTGCATTCAAGTTGATCGAAAAGCGATTTCTCTGCTCTTGAAGCATAACTTCCAGCTGAGTGAATATCCGCTCTACAAAGATTAATTCAAATCGGCAATTGCAGCCGTGCGCGAACAGCACAAATAGAAAAATAAACACTGCAATATAAATACTGGCTACGAAGGGCCATGCGGGAAAACAAACTCATGGCTTGGAACCACATTGGAGCGGCTCGATTTATTGGCTTTCAGATAATGATGGCATGATCGAGCGTTTTCTTTTTAATAAGAGATTCATCCCCTGAGCTATTAAAAATAGCCTCAGATGCATGACATTGCTGAAAAAAAAATGAACATGTTCGGAATATTTTTTATTTCTTAGGGAGTCACCGAAAAATTCCGTACGCTAAAACGACCATTATAAAAGACGCAAATGCGGGGCTCGGGAGTAGTGATCGGGGTAGTGTGCTGTTGTATTGATGTTTGTATGTGCGATACCTGTGTATGCGTTCAATGTATGTTCACCTGATGCTTGTAGTGTGCGCAACGTGTCAACATGTCTTAGAGATTCCCGAAGAAAAGGGAACGCAATTGTGGCGTAAAGAAATAAAAATATTTTTTTGTAAAACATGAATTGGGCGGTACCTAGCGCCACCTAGCCTAGCTACGTGCGATTACTCTGCTTCATCCTGCCATCTAGTGGCAAGCGATTTAACATCCTTTTACGCTACGCGGCTACGCCATAATTTCCTGTTACCGTGCTGAGGTAAGCCAAGAGGTTGCTTCGGATTTGCTTTTTTTTTTTGAGAGCGGCTTTTGGTTTTGCGGGCGAATGATTTTCACTCGTCCGTGATGTGCGGTTGACGCGACGGTTGACGAAGGAATTGTGGCTCGAGGAATAGCAAAGGTAAGACATAAAGTGCGCGAACTGGGTGCCGGTTGTCTTTGTTGAATATCGCAGTGCTGACGATGAGAAGACTGAGTGACTGCATGCTTTCGAAACGTAAGTTTCTTTACCTGCAGGGGTAAAGAAACTTCGGAAATAAATACAGTTCGCGGAAAGCTCGTGTTACGTTTTTATTTCCTGCACCTCTCGCTTCGTGCAATAGACTTAGTGTTCTCGTTAAGCCTTTTCGAGCTCGATTTGCTCGATTCGTGGCCGCAATAATGAGATGCAGTCGACGGAGGAACTTTTCCTCCCCTGCTTAAGAGACGAAAGTTTCTTCGATTCTGAAGGAACATATGTGTCAAGAGCGTTCCTCCCTTTAGGGAGGACTATACTGACCCTTTTTTCTAAAAGTGTAGTTCCTCGATCTGCTTGTCCTTCTGTTTGGGGTCACTTGTTTACGCGTCCGACTCCGTGACTTCGAACTGCTCTCCATCGACACATCCGATAATGTAGAGCTCCACGCCACCTGTCACTGTCATCTCCTCCGGCTCCAGCTCCTACTTTTCCTGCGTTTTGCCGCCATCTTGGGCAAATCGGGTCGGTAGAACTTCTGCTTGCATTCTTTAGCGTACGTACGATGGGGGCCCCCGCATAGTGCGCAGAATGGTACACATGCATGTCCTTCTTGTGCTCCTGCCTTCCCGCAAGTGTCGCATGCGTATCCCCGTGGCTTAGGACAGACATCCACCCGGTGCCCGGTTTCCCCGCAGTTATAACAGGCTGAAATCGTGTTCCTGTATATGTAAGAACAATTTTCTTCCCTATCAAACGTAATTCTGAATGGTGCTCGGTTCCCCAAGAACGTAACTAGCGCCGATTGCGATTTCCCGAGTCTTCGGGCCTCCAAGGCCTCTGCGGTGCCTGCACGCGTAAGGCGCTGTACTGTCGCGTTATCCAGTCCTCGTTGAATCCCATGGATTATTCTTCTACACGTTTCCGCCGGTCGGGTGAGATATGCCCTGACCTCTAATTCCAAACCGGGTAAGTGTAGTGTCCTGACCTTCTCGAGTCGCGCCGCGTCCTCGCCGTCATTAGTACAGATAATAAGAATGTTCTGAGCGGCAAGTAGTCGAATCTTGTAATCCTGCTGTAGCTCGGCAGGCAGAATATACCCCTGCGTGAACACAAACATTTTCGCGCACTTGAACTGCCTGTACACGGCGAAGCATCTGGCCCTGCAAACCAGGGAAATTATAACGAATTGCTGCGT